TCAGATGTCGTTTCGTGTGGCAGGTGCAAGGGATTGTGCACCTTGTCAAAAGTGAGCAAAACGTGAGGGTTTTGTGACATTTTCAACTACAACCACCACTACACCACACTACACCCCAATGCAGTACGCAACAACTACAACTACACCTTCACATACCTTCACTACATTCCACTACACTACACTACACTCAATTCCACGATATTGCATTCGATTGCACGTAATTACACTCAATTGCACTACACTACACTACACTAGGCTACATTCCACTACACTACACTACATTACACTACACTCCACTACACTACATTACACTACACTACACTACATTCCACTACACTACATTACACTACAACTACACTCCACTACACTACACTACACTACATTACACTACACTACATTACACTACACTACACTACACTCCACTACACTACACTACACTAACTACAACTACAACTACAACTGCAACTACAACAATACTACATTTACACTACACTACACTACACTCCACTACGCTACACTACACTGAATGACACTGCACTACACCTACAGCTGCAACTGCAACTGCAACTACACTACATCACATTACACTACACTAATGACATTACACTACACTACACTACATTACACTACATCACATTAACTACAACTACAACTGCATAAGACTACACTACACTACATTACACTACATCACACTAACTACAACTACAACTACATAAGAGTACACTACATTACACTACACTACACTAATTTCATTACACTACACTGCATTACACTACACCCCACTCCACTACACTACACTACACCACGCGACGCTACACTACACTGCACTACTCTACACTACACTAATTGCATTACACTACGCTACACTACACCACACCACACCACACTACACTCAATTACACTACACTACACTACCCTACCCCACATTGCATTACATTAGATTACATTACATTACACTACACTCATTATACCACCACAAATGCAACTGCAACTACACTACGCTAATTACACTACACCATAGCTACAACTCCACTACACTACAACTACAACTACAGCTGCACTACACCACACTACATCCAGCAGTTGTGGGTGAGGTGACCGACCAGGTGACCACTGCAACCATTGCAGCCACTCCAAAAAACACAGCTCCAACCACCTTTCGGTTCATCAGTGGATTCGCTCTGCCATCCGTGATTCACAACAACCAATCTCTCGTATAGGTTTCCTATTTTTGAAACTTCCGCCACCGCCTTGTGCGGTACTACTGGTATAAGGGATAATCCCAACCCCATTCATAATATATGGGATGTCATCCCAACCCCATTGACGAACTCATATTTTTCAAGATGGTTATTGCACTACCAAGCAGATGTTATTCGCAGGTTGACAGATGGCAAATCACGCTTCAGCTACTGAAGGGCATGCAGAGGCGGCTTCACATCCAAGAGCTAATTGAGCATGGTTTAAGTGTCAGGCCCGATGAGCTGTAAGTATATATAAATAGGTTTCAAAAGATGACTCACTGTCGGGTAATTTCCCATAGCTGTTGTTTGGATGGTCGAATTTTGATTATCACACATGGTGATGTTCCATAGCTACATTAGCTCACTGGAGGTAATATAAGTATATTGATAGATGGTGAGATCGTCATTTGTAATCATAAATCATCCAACTTACTCAATGCCCCCTTCTTAAGGTTTGTCCCACTATCAGATACTGCAAACGTGCCCGCAATGGCCTTGAAACAGGTACCCACTGTTTGATGATTTTCCCTTTTCCTGGGGCATGAATCGATCTGGAGTTGAACACCGCTGAAAAACATGAGTAGATATGGAGGATGGAAGAAATCCTGCACCACCTTGGATGGTTGAAACCCTATAAATCATCAGATAAACCATCTACCAACTGGTGCAAAATTTCGCAACCATCCACAGTATCATATGATGTTTGTCAGTTTCCCTCCAAGTCTAGAGCACTAGAATCACGTTCGAAGTGTGTAAGCCACTCATGGTTCTGGGTCTGGGTCAAAATGATCATTGGATGGTTGAATAATAAACATAACAAATTTGTGTATGTCTAGTCCAATTTCGATCCATGACATGTTCCGGTGGAGTCCAGTGGTGACTCAGGAGGGTGGATCAAGTTGCCTTCAATACATCCCTGGATGTCTTGAAGGCGAGAATCTGCTGGGTTTCTGGTGTGATGTGATGTAAATTCTTTGGCGGAAGTGACGAGTGTTTTTTTGGCCGGAAACATGGGATCGACATCGTTCGATGAGTTTCCCATCTCTTTCCCCTTCAGAGTGAATCACAGTCTGATGTTGCGCATCGGCAGGTGTCTTGGATACATGCCCTCTCACTGCTATGGAAGATGTCGCAAGTGCTGCTGCAGATGGACGTGCTTAGTGTGAACGCTGTCTCTCGACGAAGTTCCGAAGGGATGATCGCTGGATCGCTGTATCCCTGTGTGTCTATGGTGGAACGGAATCAGCATGTTCGGTTCCAGCTTGGATCCCCTCTTTGCTGTTATGCAAACGCGTGTTTTTTCAATGGCAGGAAAGCATGGTGAAGACTTGTTGAGGTTCCTCGATCGTAGCTGGAAGATGTGGGAAGATTTATCTGTGGGAACGGTAGGTCGGCCTGATTTAGCGGGCTATGAATGTTTCTGAACCTTGGCTACCATTGGTTTCTCCATTGAACATGACCAAGTTCGATCAAGTTTGGAATCATGCTAGGGTGATCCATTATGATCATTATAAGAAATCCTCATGTGACAGAAGTTTGGCTCAAGACTGACAAAAAATCAACCAAAGATGCGCAGCTTCGTGCTTGTCGCGAGCGTCGCGAGCGCCACGACGAACCAGACGACACGACAGCTGCGAGGAAGCTGCATTCCGTCCTATCATGTGAATTGCATGCAGAACCCGAATCTTTTTCTGCGGCAAGTCTTGAGAATCTTTTGTGGGGCTGCCCCGCCTGTTTTTTTGCTCACTTCAGTCGTCCAGGAAGTTCACTAATATGTATCCAGGATGTGTGTCTTGGGAAATGGGTACTGGGACTTGAAGAATTAATGATGATGAGTACTAAAGACAAACGGATTGGTCGTTTGGAAATGTTTGGAACATGTTTATTTTTCCATATATTGGGAATAATCATCCCAACCGACTACTGTAATATTTTTCAGAGGGGTAGGTATACCACCAACCAGCAAACACACTAAACCATTGGATCTGGAGGGAAGGGCTTTTCAGCCTCACTCTGATTACTTTCTCCGATTCCCTGAAACCGCTCAAAAGACGCCCCAAGAAACCGCGATTTTTCGAATGGGATATGTTCAATTTGAGGTTTCATATGAGAAGGTTTATCCATATTTATCCTAATTTCACATTATTCCTATGATTATCACATATATCATTGTTATATGTATTATTATGTATTCATAAGTCATTAATAATTCCTATTTCTCTAGTTTAATTTACAATAGATGACAATAGATAAACATCCAGTAGTCAGATAGTAACTCAGTATCTAATAGATCATCATTCCTATTTTCAGGGGATTTCCTTCAGCCGCCGCCGAGGAATTGCTGCGACCCAACGACCACCTGCTATGCCAAGGATCAGGCCGTGGCAGTCTGTCTACAGAGCTGCGAACCTGGGATACATTCGCGCCATGGCGCAGGGATTTCGAGGCTTTTCCATTGCCATGGGGCTACCCTCTGGTAAACTGTCCCATAAAACTATGGAAAATCACCATTTTTAATGGGGAAATCCACTATAAATGGCCATTTTCAATAGCTATGATTGTTTACCAGAGGGTACCCCAAGCTCGCGAATGGTGGTTTATTACTGTTTATTTACAGTAGCTTATGATTTCATGGAAGATCCCAAACAAAAATGGTATGATTCAGGGGTACCCCTATTTTCAGGAAACCCCCGCCGGCTGAAAAACAAGGCGAATTGTTGGGTGCTGATCAAATTTAAGGCCGTGTGCAATGGAGATTTGATGGTTAAAACATGTTAAAATACATGGCTAACATGAAAAGTGCTGTCAAAAATGCCGAAATAGTTGGTCCAACTGCCTATTTAAGACTGTTTCATGGCTGAGATACTGCCATTGATCTCGATTGCATGAGATTTCCAATCCGGTTCCCCCATGTCGCGTTTGGAAAATATTGATGCTTTCTCTGAAAGTTTCAAAGTTCATACACTCCCGGGAACAAACGTGTCTCAGGCTACCGTTTCAGGTATCAACTAACATGTCCACTCTATACCGGCGTTTTCCTGGGGAATGCATTGCAACTTTCTTTTTACACATTGACCCAAAAACAGCTAACATGTCTCAGTTCCTGCAATTGAGGCCCTTGGATTTCGACCCTGATCTGGGATATGTTAGCTATTTTGGGGGGATAGATTCAGCCAATAACCACTCACATATCTCAAAATCACATCCTCTGAACAACACGGACACGTTAGGTGGACGCTTTCCATGGCCAGTAACCCTTAGTAAATGCAACTGGTTTCTGGAACACACCCCCAATCTTCATATATGACGCGCTCTTCCGAGGAGTTGGGACTCTTTTTTCTGCTCGTTTTGCTATCAATGCGGTCTGGAAATAAGGATTGGAAGTGCAGTGCGTGCTCTTTCGTACCAAACTGGGACATGTTAGCAAGTTGGAATTCGGAAACAATGAACAACAAATGAGCAGCACCTGTGCCACTTCATCTCGGATGCTGGCCATGACTTTGGGGTTCAGGGAAAACAACAGTGTTTTGACAAAAATTGGGTCTTGTAAGTGCAGTCATTCCCCGAAGAGATTCCAATATCTCAAGCTACTGAATATTGGCCTTTTCAATGTGGGGTTCCAAAAACCAGTTGCATTTGGGGCCCTTGGATTTCGACCCTGATCTGGGATATGTTAGCTATTTTTGGGGGATAGATCAGCCAATAACCACTCACATATCTCAAAACCACATCCTCTGAACAACACGGACACGTTAAGTGGACGCTTTCCATGGCCAGTCATCTAACCCTTACACCGGTGAAATCTAACATAGCGTTTTTTTAGCCCTGGCACCAACTCACAAACATAGCATCTGGCTACGTTGTCAACCCTGGGGATTTGGAGAAAGTGATCATTTGGGTGATTTCTGCCAACACCTGCTAACATAGCCTCTGTTTCCGTCCTCCCAATGTTTGGCATTCCCTAGGAAGTGGGTAAAAGAAATGTACCAGAATAAGCTAACATAGCTGTCTGGAAACTTGTCACAGCTTGGAACCACCAAATGGAAAGTGCTATGTTAGCATCAAACTCCACGGAAAACATGTTTTAGAAAACAGGAAACCGAACACATCAATCAATCAATCTAGAATGAAAGTACCCCTGGTTGCTAGGTTAGGTGTCTCTTTTGAGTCTCCAGCCGACCAGATCAAACCACAACTGTTTTTGGATGTCTTCCTGGGGCTCACCCTTACTGGACCCAAAAAAGCTTCAAAATCAACAATTTTATATAATCGATTGAATAAGGAAAAAAAATCCTGGTCAAAGTTGCCAATCTCGCTACTTGCTACTATGAAGTACGATTGAATGTTTTTGGAACCATATATTGGTGGAAAGGCTGATGAACGCGCGCACAAACGAACGCTAACAAAGCAGTTCCCGATTGAACCTACTTGATGCTTCACACGCGCCAAGTTAGCACCAAAATGCCCATGTCACACCATGCGTTCCCAACGCCAAGTTAGTTGAATCTCAGCCCCAAAACCCAAACACTAACATAGCAAAAAAAATAAAAAAAAACTTTCAACAGGTAAGATTTCACGAGAGTAGTAAATGCAACTTGTTTTTGGAATGCACCCCCAATCTTCCTGCCCACCTCCGAGCATCATCTATGATGCGCTCTTCCGGAAGGAGTTGGGACCCCTTTTTTCTCCACCGTTTTGATATCAATGCAGTCTTTGATTTGAGCCCTATTGGGGTCTGGAAATAAAGATGCTGGGGCGTCCGGGGCGGTAGTCTTCTGGCAGTTTCCCGGGAACCCCCAGAGGGGGTGACAACTTTTCCACTAACATGTCCATTCTGGACTTTCAACTAACATGTCTCAAGTGTGGGGCATTTATCTCAGCCTATGTTCACAGCAGCTAACGTATCCAAAAAAAACACCAAAAAAAAGTGGATACGTGTCTCGGGCTACCGTTTCAGGTATCAACTAACATGTCCACTCTGTACCAGCGTTTTCCTGGATTTCCTGGGGAATGCATTGCAACTTTTTTGGGGACCATTGACCCAAAAAACAGCTAACATGTCTCAGTTCCTGCAATTGGGGCCCTTGGATTTCGACCCTGATCTGGGATATGTTCGCTATTTTGGGGGGATAGATTCAGCCAATAACCACTCACATATCTCAAAACCACATCCTCTGAACAACACGGACACGTTAAGTGGACGCTTTCCATGGCTAGTCATCCAACCCTTAGTAAATGCAACTTGTTTTTGGAATGCACCCCCAATCTTCCTGCCCACCCACGAGCATCATCTATGATGCGCTCTTCCGGAAGGAGTTGGGACCACTTTTTTCTCCACCGTTTTGTTATCAATGCAGTCTTTGATTTGAGCCCTATTGGGGTCTGGAAATAAGGATGCTGGGGCGTCCGGGGCGGTAGTCTTCTGGCAGATTCCCGGGAACCCCCAGAGGGGGGGACAATTTTTCCACTAATATGTTCATTCTGGATTTTCAACTAACATGTCTCTAGTATAGGGCATTTATCATAGCCTATGTTCACAGCAGCTAACGTATCCAAAAAAACTGTTTTCCACAAAAAAGTGGATACGTGTCTCGGGCTACCGTTTCAGGTATCAACTAACATGTCCACTCTGTACCGGCGTTTTCTTGGATTTCCTGGGGAATGTATTGCACCTTTTTGTGGCCATTGACCCAAAAACAGCTAACATGTCTCAGTTCCTGCAATTGGGGCCCTTGGATTTCGACCCTGATCTGGGATATGTTCGCTATTTTGGGGGGATAGATTCAGCCAATAACCACTCACATATTTCAAAACCACATCCTCTGAACAACACGGACACGTTAGGTGGACGCTTTCCATGGCCAGTCATCCAACCCTTAGTAAATGCGACTTGTTTTTGGAATGCACCCCCAATCTTCCTGCCCACCCACGAGCATCATCTATGATGCGCTCTTCTGGAAGGAGTTGGGATCACTTTTTTCTCCACCGTTTTGTTATCAATGCAGTCTTTGATTTGAGCCCTATTGGGGTCTGGAAATAAGGATGCTGGGGCGTCCGGGGCGGTAGTCTTCTGGCAGATTCCCGGGAACCCCCAGAGGGGGGGACAATTTTTCCACTAATATGTCCATTCTGGATTTTCAACTAACATGTCTCTAGTATAGGGCATTTATCATAGCCTATGTTCACAGCAGCTAACGTATCCAAAAAAAACACCAAAAAAAAGTGGATACGTGTCTCGGGCTACCGTTTCAGGTATCAACTAACATGTCCACTCTGTACCGGCGTTTTCTTGGATTTCCTGGGGAATGCATTGCAACTTTTTTTGGGACCATTGACCCAAAAACAGCTAACATGTCTCAGTTCCTGCAATTGGGGCCCTTGGATTTCGACCCTGATCTGGGATATGTTCGCTATTTTGGGGGGATAGATTCAGCCAATAACCACTCACATATCTCAAAACCACATCCTCTGAACAACACGGACACGTTAGGTGGACGCTTTCCATGGCCAGTCATCCAACCCTTAGTAAATGCAACTGGTTTTTGGAATGCACCCCCAATCTTCCTGCCCACCCACGGGCATCATCTATGATGCGCTCTTCCGGAAGGAGTTGGGACCCCTTTTTTCTCCACCGTTTTGTTATCAATGCGGTCTTTGATTTGAGCCCTATTGGGGTCTGGAAATAAAGATGCTGGGGCGTCCGGGGCGGTAGTCTTCTGGCAGTTTCCCGGGAACCCCCAGAGGGGGGGACAACTTTTCCACTAACATGTCCATTCTGGATTTTCAACTAACATGTCTCAAGTATAGGGCATTTATCATAGCCTATGTTCACAGCAGTTAACGTATCCAAAAAAAATATTTTCCACAAAAAAAGTGGATACGTTTGTTCCCTAGAGAGTATTCCCCATGAAATGGCCATAACTTGGGGATACACTGACCACTTTCAAACACACCCACAACTCATATTCTTCATTCTAGCGTTACTTATGAAAGGGCAAACGCCCTGGTGCCGCCGACCCCCCTTTTGGGGGGGAGTCCAGCCGCTCCTCAGTTTGACATGCTGGGATCCAATGAGTGCAAGCCTTCCAAGCCGCCCGGTCATGTATCTAGACACTGCCGTTTGGCAGGTTTGGTTCTACTAAGCTGGGCCTAGTAGAACCAAAACTGCCAAACGGCAGTTTCGAAACCCCTTAAAGATACATGACCAGGCAGCTTGGAAGGCTGGAGAAGGAGAGGCAAGGAGACCCCAGTGGAACCTACCAGCTTGGAAAGCCGAAGAGAAGCAAAGTAAATGGCAAGGCCCACGCGCAATGCCGCACACCTGCGGTGATCCCAGGCGCCGCCACACCTAGGCCAAAGCTAGGCAGGGTTCGGCGGATGTTTTATATCGTGTCAAAATCTCATCATATCCCCAATTTAAGATATTATAAGCACTTTAATCCCCATATTTTGGTTGCTAAAAACTCATGTCTTGTGAACATCAGATGGCGGATCCAGGAATGACTTGCCGCAATACCGCACGCCTTGGAGCTGCGATGTCGTGGGGAAGCAGACGCCAGTTGTGGATCATCGTCCAATGGCCGAAGGGAAGTGCACCCAAAACTACCACGTGAATTGTGTCTTGGCACCTGAAAAGGTTGTTTGTCTGAAGATAGTGGATATTTTGAGTGAAAAGGCCATTTGAAAAGGGAACATGGGGGTCTAATCCATTGGAATTAGGGGCACGCCAAATTTTCAGACTCATCCAAATCATAATTTGCAAGCAAGAAATCTGCGCCTTCAACAGATAGCTTCCAAGTGAAAGGAGCAACAAACCACCCAGTGTTTTTTTGGCCATGATTGACGTCACACAACAATATACCCCATTAAGAATTCTATCAGTTTAGTTAATGCTACCTAAATACCAAGAATCACCATAGTTTTTGTTGATTTTCCCCTTATGATAATTATCATTTAACCATGTTTAACCGTATTTAACCCACATTTTGTTTGTTTTTTTATTATATCCACTTTGGCTAGCCACCCCCCGGATGGAGCTGAGGCATGCACAACCCCACCTGTTGTGATCCAAACTCCAAGTGCTATGCCAAGGACGGGTGCTGTGTTGAAACACGTTGCGGCTGCCACCCATTTATGATTAGCTACCATAGTTAAAAAGAAAAAGATAGAAGGTCATTTGGTCATGTATGGAAATATATATATATATATACATACCTATATATATAATTTCATGTAGATATCTATCTATTACATGATGATAGCTTTATGCATTCGCTTAATGATACACAATTCTAAGACATGTTTATGATGAGCCAGTCTGTGCTGGGTGGCTTCATGTTTTCCAGCATACTTTTTTTGGGACGATAAGAACAACCCCAAGTTGGCTGGGCCCCTTAGTTGCCTGGGCCACTTGCATCAGAAATGAAGCATCAACCATGTGTATATTTGTGATTTACCGACAGGGAATCAGGTGTTCCCAAGATAGATTGCTTTTTACCAGGGTGTCATATCATATCCCTGTGCATTCCCATTTCCACATGACATTTCATTAGCATTGGAAAGGTGATTCTATTAGATGTGATGAATAATGATTTAATGAGTATGTTTATGTATACATATTATTTTTCATATGTGTATATATATAATATGTATATACACCATATGTAGCAGATTAACCTACCAGACATATCCACCCACATATCACATGATATCCACCACCACGCCCCCAGAACACCCCGGTATGCCCCGGTAGGATCGCGCGGTGGCCATCTGCCTTCACAGTTGCGAGCCCGGAATCCATTTGAACGACCCTCCGCAGTGGCAAACGTACCTTGAGCCAATGTGGACACACCATGTTTTTGATCCGACATGTTGACTAATTTACAAACAAATGCGAATTTATTGATGGATTTGATGCGAAATATTGGTAAAACAAACCCAAAAATGTGGATTTGAAAGTTGATCACTTGGGGATTTAATGAAACATCATCGGATTTAATTAGTAGGAAATTTCAGGGATGCAATGGAGATTTATTGGGATATGCAAGCACCCATATACCATGTGTGTCATCAATTGAGATATCAAAAAACGATATAGATATCAGACTTAGGATGATACTGGAAACAACATATTCATTTTGTTGTAGATATCTAACTCAATAATGGGACTGTCCAACGAAATTTGGGATGTTTTGTTTTGCGGGTATATTGTATGGGTTTGATTTAAGGGGATCTGCTGGGATGTGTAAACCAACGTAAACCAACCAACTGATATTTGTTGTTCCAAAACAGGTGACCGTATTCCACGCGCTGGTTCACCAATCATTCTACAAAAAAAACGCAATTTTGGGACATGGTAAAGCCATTTTCATAAAAGATCCTCAATTCATTGTCTTTTTTTTGCCTTGAAAAACCATCCCTAGGCATTGTAGGCAGGTTTATGGTAGCGTTTCCCACATTGCAGGAGTCTGGATTCGGTGAAGCCAATAAAAACAGCCTACATGGTGGGGATTTGCCACGTTCCATGGCAAGTCCTTAGGGATGGATCTGGGTTTACCACATTAGATCCAATTACCGAAGGAAGTTTAGAAGTCAAACTTCCGACAATATGGACAAATGAAAAGCAGAGGTGAGAAGAGTCAGAGAAGAGAAGAGAAGAGAAGAGAAGAGAAGAAGAAAGAAGATCAAAACAGAGAAAGTCTCAGAAGAAAGAGGATCCAGGTGCGCGAAAAGGTAGGACAGTCGCGAAACAGTGTGTTTTTCCAATGATTTGTGGCTCCGGAGGGTCGAAAAGTAGGCTCGCTAAAGCGGCGGGTGCGGAGCCAGCTGGCCAGATGAGAGATGAAAAATTGCACGCCGTTGTGGCGCAAAGCACATATCGAAGTCAAAATGCACAAAACAGGACCACTTTTGGAAGTTGAGATGTCGAAAAAAGTGCACGCCGTTGAGGCGCGAAGCACATTTGCAAGTGAAAAAGCTAAAAACACTGACGTTCGCACAACTTTTGGAAGTTGAGATGTCGAAAAAGTGAGTCCCTCAGAATTGCTTCGTTTTTGATGTTGTCAAGTTTGAAAAATGCAGAAGTCTCGCAGACCTGTTTCGTTTTTGACGTTGTTACGTTCAAAAATTGAGGAAGTCTCGCAGAATTGATTCGTTTTTGATGTTGTCATCTTTGAAAAATGAAGACGTCTCGCAGAATAGCTCCGTTTTCAAGCTTGTAGATAGATAGATAGATAGATAGGTAGGTAGGTAGGTAGATAGATAGACAGACAGGTAGAAAGATAGACAGAGAGACAGACAGAGAGATAGACAGAGAGATAGACAGACAGACAGACAGACAGACAGACAGGCAGGCAGGCAGGCAGGCAGGCAGGCAGGCAGGCAGGCAGACAGACAGACAGACAGAGAGAGAGAGAGAGATAGATAGATAGATAGATAGGTAATTAGGTGAAACAGAGAGATAGATAGATACATAGATAGGTAGGTAGGCAGGTAGGTAGGTAGATAGTCAGAGAAAGAGAGAGAAAGAGAGGAGACCTCAAGCACCTTGCGGTCCATCAGTGGCTTCGCTCTGCCATCCGTGATTCACAACAACCAATCGCTCCTATAGGTTTCCTATTTTTTGAAACTTCCACCACCGCCTTGTGCGGTACTACTGATACCTATACATTCATGAGTCTTCCGTGAAATCACCACTTTTCAGTCATCATCAATTGGAGAAGTGAGGGGTGTTCCTCCGGAAGCCACAACCTTCAACAGGCCATGGAGCTGTTCCTTGGTCTCTCCCTCCCCGCCCAGCAGTCCCAGTGGTCCCAGCGGGATGGGTCCTTTGGCGTCCTTGCTGCGGCCCAGCGATGGGAAGCTGATGGACTTCGTGATGTACCGGGCCCAAAATGATGCCAACTACCCGTTGGAGAATGTGAACGCTGGAAATCTGGAAGGAATCATGTGGTATTTGCAGAATGAAGTCTTGAGCGGTGTATATGGACCAGGCACTGTGAAAAACTTTGAAGCTCTTGTTTTGGGGAAGCAAAAAGAAAATCATGACTTCGAGTTTGCAGAAAGATGAATAATGTGGTAAACCTAACAATAAACCATCCCCAATAGAGGTTTATTGGGTATATTCCTATGACTGGGATGATGTCAAATGACCCCCAGTCATCGTTGGCTAATGGGATGGTTCATTGGGTTTACCACATTACTCCCATTCCTGGCGCAATCAAACATGGCCAACAGGAAAATGCACCATTTAGTTCGGTGATTCTCCGAGCTATAAGCGTCCACTCCAGTGTTGGTGGGCGTTTCCCAGGCCCACCTGGGGTTCCGTAACTGAGACAGGGCCAGCCTATCTCGCTGCAGGCCCCAAATTTGGCATCACTCGTATCTTGCGGATCAGAGTACAAGTGCGGGCAACGCAGCACCTTGCATCCGCAATGGGAAATCCCCTGTCAATGGAGGTTTATAGCTGGGAAAATCATCGAACTGAATGGTGGATTTTCCAGAAAGCTATTTGACTGATTACCAGAGAGGCTAAATCAAAAGTAAAAGCCCATATCAAAAACTGATTTGGTATGGATATCTTCTGGATTGCTACTTTCTGTATGGCCAAACCTGTGGGTCGGAACGGTCAAACCTATGGACTTGCAGATTTTGTTTTCCGCAGGACAGAGTGCAACCAAACCCCGGGCCAAACTGATTGAATAAGCTGGGGTGGGCAGATCTGTCTCAACTTTGGTCGGAATTCACTTGGAATGATTTTTGTTCGGGATGGATCATGGAGTCCAAATCCTAAGTTCCTGCGATGTTTAGGCCTTTGCTGGACAAGGGAATGAACTTTGGCATCAGAGTGGCTTTCGATAGTGGAAAGTGCACGGGTCCAGACTGTGCCATGGATTGGCATGACTATGGCTGCTTGACATCGACATGGTTGCGGTAAATTTCGCTCTGTGTGTGCGCGTCACAGCTGAAATTTTCCCAGTTTTGATAGAGGATGAAAGTATCATGAATCATGACTTTGCATGCAAAAAATACCTTTAAAGGTATTTAAAATGTAGTGCATAATAATTCTTACCGTGTATAAATATATATATATGCATAGATATAGATTTAGAGATAGGTATAGATATAGAGTAGATCCCACTAGTATATACTATATATTTCTATATTATCCTATATGTCCAAAAGGTGCAAAGATCTATCATTTGGTCCTTGACGTGTGTTCTGGGATGCCAAAAATGCCGGGGATTTCATGGGATTTCGCCATTGGACCCTTCGATCATGCCAGGCTACAATGTGGGTTGTAACAAGCTTGGTGATTGGCCATTTCCAACCTACGATACTCACTTCGAGGGTGGTATTTGGAACCTTGGAGGGTCAAGGATGGGGGTGCAGGGCGCAACAGTTTGAAGGGGAGAAACTCACTCGGGCGGGTCGTGCCACCAGGATTTCTACCTTTTCCAACCTGCTAGCAACGCAATTTCGCAGATTTGCCCAACAGAATCCAGGAGGCATTGAATTGTCGATGAAGAATGCGTCCTAGGCAATGCAGAAAGGCGCCGGTTGCTCTCAAGAAGGTGTATGTAGCGCATAATAAACGAATATAAATACGAAATAGTGTGTATATATATATATACACACATGTATGTCGCGAAGCAATGACCAGCCGAGGTACAGTCTTCCTGGTTCCTGCCCTTCATTGTCCTATCTGCACAAATCGGACGACTCAGCCACTGGGATGTACTGGGCACAGCAACATCCCCCTTCAGCAGTTGTCGCTAATGAATTGCTAGGAACAACCGTCTTGAAAGTTCAACCAGAAAGTTCCGATGCGACCTGGAGGGGAACATGCAATGGCTGCATACGTGTTCTATCCTGCCTTGTTTGATGCCGCGGTGTCTAATGTGAAGAAACATTCCAGGCTTTGGGAATAAAGGCCATACCTATCAGGAGCCCAAACCAGAGAAGTGTCCCCCACACTCTACCTGAGGCATGCAAAATGAATGAGCCAGGCGGCAAATGCTCGGGCGTTCCCACTGGAGCAGGGGATTGCACGTGGAACTATGAAAATGCGGGAGATTTGCCGCTGACGGTATCTCAGCTTGGATATGCTGTTGGATGATGCTGGATGCTTGTGTTCATCGTTGGCGATGATGTTCCTGGTGGAGAAACCAACTGGCTTTGAAAGTACAAAGAGCGTGTCAAACACGCTTGCCTAGAACTGAGGAACTTTACCGGGAGACAAGCGAGAGGAGCTTTTGGGCTGGCAACAGCAATGCAGAGAATCGACGGAAAGTGCAAGTCGCCAAAGAGCTTTTCGCTGCCAAGTATGGCCCAGATCCGCCGGTGCTGGGGTTGGTGCGGGGCAGGATGCATGCACGGAAAGTGCCCATCGTCATCTGATATTCGGATGTTTTTGATGTTATTGGACGTTCTATATTTACGGGTTGCAAGATGTTGCAAGTTCAAACATGCACAGTGACCAAAGTATCAACAAAAAATGACAAAAACAAATTCCACGTAAGTCAACCAGATTCCACAATATACATGATAGATAGATAGATTAGATTAGAATAGAATAGAATAGAACAGAATAGAATAGAATAGACTAGACTAGAATAGACTAGACTAGAATAGACTAGACTAGACTAGATAGATAGACAGGCAGATAGATAGATAAGATAAGATAAGATTAGATTAGATAGATAGGTAGGTAGGTAGATAGATGAGATAGATGAGATAGATGAGATAGATGAGATAG